GGGGCAGATTTGGCTCTGGCTTCAGGACCAATCTGGGTTTCTTTCACTGGCCTTTTTAAGCTTTCTGGCTCTAGATTTGGGGCCAGGGCATATTATTTCCAGTGACTCTAATTCTAGGGCCAAAGTGTGTTTCTTTGGCACTGGTTTCAGAGTCAGGGTGTATTTCTTTGGTTCTGGGTTCAGAGCTAAAGCATTTTTTTTCCTTTTGACTTTTTATTTTATTTTTTTAGTTTTGATTGTTACAACCCCGATTTCCTAGTTAGTCTTCTCTCTGCTGCAGAACCATAGCATAAAGGCTTCAAATATCATCAGATGTAAGGTCCATGTTATTGACTGTAAACCATGAAGCTGGGCTATGTTTGAATGAAAACATTTGATATGGATGGTCAGATGAAAGATACCAAAATGTCATAAAGCAATTTCTTCCACTGGCTCGGGTCTCAGAGCTGGCCCTTTTACCCTACAACCTCTAATGTGGTCTTTGCCATAGGTACAACCCAAAACTCAATATATAAGTGCAATTTTTTTAAAATTTAACTTTTATTTAATGTGCATGGGTGTTTTGCCCACACCTATGTGTGTGTGCCCTAACTTGTGTGTGTAGTGCCTACAAAGGCCAGAAGACAGTCCCAGATAGTTTGGGACTGGAGTTACAGGTCGCTGTGAGCCTCAATAGGGTGCTGGGGATTGAAGCAAAGTTCTCTGGGCGAGCAGCCAGTGCTGTATCTGCTGAGCCGTCTTCCCAGCCAAAGTTGTAAAAGACGCTGAATTAGAACAGCGTGGTCCAGATATGCACACTTGGATGACACTGTCTGCACTCAGAGCACATCGCGATGGAATCAATCTGCTCGCCTGACTTTGTTCTCCATAGACCGTAACTTCCTATGGGCAGGGCAGTCCCTTCTATCCCTGGAGTCCCAGAACCTGGTCCTAAATACCTGCCGAATGAGTCCTTGTTCTTAGTGATGACTGTGAGGACTGTCCTCACGCTGGGTGAGTGGGAACTGGGGCTGCCCTTGAGGGCTACAGAATAACAGCCACGTACAGGTAATGTCACTCTCGGGTGCAGGCTTTAGCGATGTGAGCGAGGGAAGGCGTCAGCTGTGCTCTTAGCAGAGCAATATGGAGGTTCCTAGGGAAGCCTTGTCTGTGTTGCTGACCAGTGAGTTGTACCTGGGGATTATTTAACATGGGGCTTATCCCTAGGACTCAGCAAGAGGAGTGTGTCCTCTTAGCTTCTGAGCCATCCTTCTAGCTCCAACATCCTATCCCTAGTAAAATCCTGACTATAGAAGATGAGTTCAGCCCGACATCCGGAGCTGAAACTCCTGTGTTTCTTCTTGGACATCATTTTACTGCAGATCTTTATGAGGTCAGCCTGGTGTCCCTATCAGGTTCCAAGTTAGCTGGGGCTACACAGTAAAACCCTGGGTTTTTGTTTGTGTGTATGTGTTAAGGTTATTTTACCATCCTAATACAAATATGAATATCTAATTTGTAAAATTTTCTTTTTGCAGAAAAAGGATTCATAAACGCTACCAACTCACGAGAAGAGTATGAAATTGACCCATACGAAAAGTTCTGCTTTTCAGTCAGGTTTCAAGCATACCCACAGATCCGATGTACGTGGACCTTCTCTCAAACGTCATTTCCTTGCGAACAAAGTGGTCTGGAGGATGGATCCAGGTGAGAGAGGACAGAGCATAGGTTTCCACCCTTGCCCTTGAGAAAGACAATGCTGTATTTGTGGAAGTGAATTCTCTCATTATGAGTGTGTGTACACACGCAGACACGCACACCCTCCCCCGCCTCCACCAGTACTGAGGATCAAATCCCGGAGCCTTCCTTGCACGCACTAACCAAGCACTCTGCCGCTGAGCTATAGGCTCAGCCCCATGAGTGTGTAAGCTGATTTATTGTTGAGTCAGAGACCTAAAGAGGGAAAGCAAAGGGCACCATATGAGGGTAGCCTACCCTCACTCTCTTCTGGGAGTAAAGCCTGCCGCATAAAAACAGAATCCTGGCGGTCTTTCTGTCAAGAGATTGTGATTTCCTGTCAGAGTGCTGGACTGTGACAGTACCCTGGGGCCAAGTGTATTGAGTGATGGAGGAATCGAACCTCCTTGCCAGCCATAAACATGGTCCATATGTGTACTGGCTTATGTAGGGATCGAACCTCCTTGCCAGCCATAAACATGGTCCAATGTGTACTGGCTTATGTAGGGATCGAACCTCCTTGCCAGCCATAAACATGGCCCATATGTGTACTGGCTTATGTAGGGATCGAACCTCCTTGCCAGCCATAAACATGGCCCATAGGTGTACTGGTTTATGTAGGAATCGAACCTCCTTGCCAACCATAAACATGGTCCATAAGTGTACTGGTTTATGTAGGGATCGAACCTCCTTGCCAACTGAAAACTTGGCCCATAGGTGTATTGGTTTGTGTTTTCAAGTTGAAAGTGCAGAAACAGCCCACCCATAAGTGGTAAAGGACAATTTAATTCCCCAGGGATTTGTCCAACTATATTCTGGGGGAGAAATTCTTATTCCTTCTTTGAAAAGCAAAAGTCAGCTTCCCCCAGTTTCTTCCTTTAACTATAGTGCTTCTTTCTTTTTTTTTTCAGATTTTATTTTTAGTAGTTTTAGTCGTGTGTGTGTGTGTGTGTGTGTGTGTGTGTGTGTGTGTGTGTGTGAGAGAGAGAGAGAGAGAGAGAGAGAGAGAGAGAGAGAGAGAGAGAGAGACTTTGCATGCTATGTTCTTGGAGGCCAGAGGCTTGCTTACAGGCAGTTGCGAGCTGCCCGCCATGAGTGCTGGGAACCCAGCTCAAGGACTTGTGTTCCTAACTGCTGGACCAAATCTGCAGGGCAGCATCTCCTGTTTCTTACAGTCTGTGACTTCAGGTTAGACTGTAAGAGCCGGGCACAGTCTAGAACAGTCATTGTCTCTCAGCACATGACTCATAAGTGCAAGATCCATGAGTCACTTGGGCAATTGTCTTAAAAGGTAGATTTGTGGCTCCTGTTCTAGACATGCTGAATCAAAATTGAGGCAAGTTACCCTGATTTGATTTGATTTTTTTTTCCAAATAGGGGCTCACTGTGTTGCCTGGGCTGAACTTGAATCCTTGAGTTCAGACAACCCTGCCTTGACCTCCTGAGTGGCTGGCACTGTGTGCTCGGCCACAGTGATCTGAAGGCCTCTGTTGCTAGTTTGTCTTAGGTCTGCTGTCTGACGCAGTAGCCACCAGCATTAGGCTAGTGAGGATTTTACCCTGGGGTAGTCTAAATTGAGATGAAAATACACTCTGGGTTTTGAAGGCTTTGTATTTACAAAAGAATGTAAAATCTCATTAATAATTTCCATGTTGGTGCTGTGTTTAAATGATTGTGTCTGAGGTGTTCTGGGTTAAAGAACTCAGCTGTTGCGCTTAGCTTTACCCTCTTCTCTTTAATTCGTGTACACAGTTGGTGGGGAGTCTCAGAAAGGAGAATGTGGCTGGTGTCGTGTCTGTGGCCCATGATGATCTTGTTGGATCTCTGGTTACTGTGATGGCTAAAAACTTCTTACCTTGATTCTGCTCGGCGCTGCCTTCATGATATTGTGCTTTTTAAATTTCCTATAAAGTGATTTGTAATTGGTCTTTGTTTGAGCAAGAGAGCAAAAGAGGTACTGGGATGAGACCTAGGGCCTTGCATGCTAAGCAAGTGTTTTATCACTGACCTACAGCCCCAGCCATGTTTGGATTTTTGTTGTGTTTGCTTTTTAAAGATTTATTTTTAATCTCCTGTGTGTGTGCATGCCTGCTTGCCTGCCTGCCTGTGACGGATCCCCTGGAACTAGAGTAATAGGCAGTTGTGAGCCAGCTGATATGGTGCTGGAAATTGAATTCAAGTCTTCTGGAAGAGCAATACTAGCTTTTAACACCTGAGCCACCTCTCTATCCCTAGATTTTCTTGGTGATGGGGGTGTCCAGTGGGGTGTGTGTATATGTGTGTACACCCACATGTAGAGGCCAGACCAACACTGGAGGTCATTCTCTATTATTCGCCATGATTTAAAAACATTATTGTTATTTTATGCATGAGTGTTTTGCTTGCATGTATGTCTATGCATGTGTACTTGTTGTGTGGTTGGTGAGATATCAGATCACATGTGTGACTGGCGGGGTGTCAGATCACATGTGTGATTGAGGGGATATCAGATCACATGTATGACTGGGGGATGTCAGATCACATGTGTACCTTTTCGGGTACAGATCACATGTGTGACTGATGGGTGTCAGATTATTTGGACGGAGACTTATGGACAGTTATGAACCACCATGGGGGAACTAGGAATCAAACCTGGGTCTTCTACAAAACAAGTGCTCTTAACCACTGAGTCATGTCTCCAGCCCCCCTCCACTATTTTTTTTTAAGACAGACTCTCCCACTGAACTTAGAGCTCACCGCTTTGGCTACACTGACTGGCCATCAAGCCCCAGGATCAACCTGTCTCTGTGTGGCCCCATATTCCAGCCCTAGGGTCACAGAAACACACTGTTGCACCCGTCCTTTACCTGGTACGGATCTGAACTCAGGTTCTCGTGCTGTGTAGCAAGCGCTTTATCCACGGAGCCACCTCCCCAGCTCCTTAGCTGGAGGGTAGAGTTAGAATGCAGGGATTACAGAACTATGTGCCTTCCCTTACAAAAGTTATCCTAGTGTTGGAGAGGTAGTGTGAGGTTAACTAAGAACGCTGAGTACCCACCATCGGTGCGCTCCGCATGCCAGCATTTTGAGCTGGATCTCCCTCTGCTGCAGAGGGCTGTCTGCCTTGTAGACCGCCTACCCAGCACCCCTGGCTCCACTCACTGGATACCAGCAGCTCCTCTACCTTCTTTCAGTTGTTACAGACCAACAATATCCCGGATGTCTCATGGCAGAAAGAACCACCCTTGATTGAGAGTTCCACCTATTCTCATGAACTCGTTTGTTTCTTTCTTTGTGTCTTGCTTGCTAGTTTTGAGACACAGTCTCTCTATGTAGCCCTGGCTGTCCAGGAACTCGCTATATAGACCAAGCTGGCCTTGAACTCACCATGCCTGGTCTCATAAACTCTTATCCGGAACTTGAGTTCCAGAAGTAGCGGACAGGAAGGAAGCCGCCTGATGACAATGCAGCCTGTGTTTAGGATAGTTGACTTTCTGGCCCCAGTGCACCAGTGTGATCTAACACAGCCTTAGACTCCCCTTGCGTTCCAGGATATTTGTGAGCCTGACTCAGGTAAAGGAAGAGTTAAATTTGGTTTAACAAATGCCCCTTCAGGTAGTGGGGGTGTCTACCTTTAACCCTAGCATTCCAGAGGCAGAAGCAGTCCATCTCTTTGAGTTCTAGAGCAGCCTAGGCTACACCTTGAGTTCTAGGCCAGCCTGGACTACACAGCAAAGTGCCACGTGACTGGGTAAGGTGCTGCCACTTTCCTTCACCCCCAGAGGACACATATTGTCACTGTGTGACATGGTGATACACAGCAGAATGTCTTGAGGTGTCACAGAGCTGTGTCTACCACGCAGTGAGGGGTCACTCCACTGGGCTGGGTGGCCACATTGCATCTGGGGCTCCAGACCACAAGCCTGAACCCCAGCAGCTTTCCACCCCAGGTCAACCAGTTCTGGGTCCCTCCATTTCCGTCACCTTGGGGCAGGCTCTAATCGCCATAAAGACAGCTGCACCGGCATCCCTCTAACTCCACTCAGTGCCTCGTTCAGGAAGTGTGTCTGTGAACCAGGGAAGAGACCCCTGGACATCACTTCTAGGAGAAAGCTGAATCCTTGGTGTCTCCCATGACCCACACATGACATCGAGCGCCGTGCATTTCTTTGAAGGTTCCCAGAGAGTTAAAACTGTGCCAGGTCTAACAGCGAGCACCCTTCCAGTGCGGGCAGAGCTGAATGGTGAGAGCCGTCAGCTCGGTCCTCAGTGTTCCATGATTCTGCTCTGCTGTAGGCTCTGGGCTGAGGTGGGAGGTAACACAAGTCTGTGTAACTTTTTTGTTTTGTTTTGTTTTGTTTTGGATTTTCAAGACAGGGTTTCTCTGTAGCTTTGGTTCCTGTCCTGGCACTAGCTCTTGTAGACCAGGCTGGCCTCGAACTCCCAGAGATCCGCCTGCCTCTGCCTCCCGAGTGCTGGGATTAAAGGCGTGTGCCACCACCGCCCGGCTCTGTGTAACTTTTGATAAGAAGTTCCAAATTTACTAGTGCCAAAGCCAAAGGAGCATGCAGCCTTCACTCCACCCTGTGTGTGGCAGTTTACTGGAAGGGAGTTGGGATGGCAAAGTATCAAAGTATCAAGATTGTTATTCTTTGTGTTCTGAGAACCAAGTTGGGTGGCCGCAGGTTTTTTTTTTTTTTTTCTGTGTAGTAGCTGGACTCCTGCAGAAGCTTCAGTGCGGTCATAGTGTACACCAGAAGTCTCTCAGCTTCCCCACCTTCACAGCTTCGTTTCTGCAATTTACTTCCTCAAATCTCACCCGACGGTCTGCTGGGGCTTGTCTTTCCGTGCTTGCACTCAGTTTCTAGCTGCCTTGGTGGCCTTTTACTTCTGGAAGAAAAACAAAACAAAACAAAACAACAAAAACGACCGAAGATTGTTTGCCCCTTACTTGAGTAATTACCTAGACCTACTAATAAAGGCCAACTCCACATCAGTGCCATGGGAGAAAAAGGATGAGCTTATCATAACTTCTCCCCAAAGATACTTGATTCCCTCCTCCGGGAGTCCCAGTTCCCTCCCCACCGAGGCTCTCTCTCACTGAGCAAGGCGATGATCGCCCACATGTTCACAGTCTGGATGAGTGGCTAGTGGCCTGCTCAGGACAGGAGCAGGGACACAGAAGCCTCCGGCAGGACCTGAGGCAGAGCTGACATTTACCTTTCACTGAGTGCGGTTTAGGGTTAGGGGAGACATGAGCCTGAAGGCATGCAGAAGGGAAGAGAAAGGTATTTGGCTCTAGAGCAAGAATATGAGACCCTTCAGTGATGTTGTCTGTGGCCCTGGCTCCTTCCTTTTCCTGGGCTGTACATGAGACCCTGTTTTAAATGTATGTAAAAAGTGTCTTTAACTTAATAGTTGTACTATTGTGTCTTAGTTATAATTTTCAAAGCTACATAGTGCTATAGAGTTTAAAAGTTGAAAACAGGATCTCCTTGTGTAGCAGTGGCCAGCCTGGAGCTTAATGTGTAGACCAGGCTGGGCTGTAACTCAAAGAGATCCACCTGCCTCTGTCCCCCCGAGTGCTAACATTAAAGGTGGGTGCCAGCAGGCCTGGCTCTAGACATAACATTCTTTATAAATCATAAGCAGATTCCAGAGCCCTTAGACCAAGCCTGGCCTTTCTCAACTCCTCCCTTTGGGGGGTGAGGGGAGCAAATACAAGGAAGTAGAAGGTGATTTGATGGCAGGATGAACCCCTCTTCCCAATTGTAATGACATTACATAGGCTTATTCTCCAAGATAAATCACTGTGAACTCAAATTTCCTGAAGCTAAAAAAGAAATAAAGAAGGAAAAAAAAAAACTGAGGAAATGAGGCTCTGAGCCTCCTGATGAGCCTCCTGGTCACTCGGATTGTTGTTGGGGTCGTAAGGGTGGGAGAGAGCCAGGTGCGGGGGCACAGGCCCATGCCCTGGAACACTGGAGGCTGAAGGAAGAGAGAGCATGAATCTGGCCTGTCGAGGCCACGTAAAGGCAAGAGAAATCAGTAAAGCTATCTAGAGATTTAGTTCTGTGTCCCACTAAGTTCGGTGACGGATTTCCTATCTGGATATTGTTGAAGAGAAAATACCTCAGGGGCTTTCTCCGGGGCAAGCCATGGCCTGTGGAGGCAGCACGAAGGAGGGACAGGAAAGAAGAATCTTCACACAGCCTTGTGCTTTGTCCTTCATGGTGCAAAACGGTTGTGTGTAGTCGGATTTTTCATTGGGCTGCCAGCTCACAACAACAACAAAATAAAACATGGCACGGGGATTCATATTAATTATGAAAGCTCGGTCTATAGCTTAGGCTTGTCCCCTAGCGCTTATACCTTAAATCAACCCCATTTCTATTCATCCACGTCTTTTACTTCCCTCCTGCAGTCTCGCATCCTCTGTGTCTGGCTAGTGACTCCCTTCTTCCCAGCATCCTCTCTGCCCCCAAAATCCTGCCTGGTTATTGGCCCTTTTTTTTCCAAGCTTTTTATTAAACCTGAGTGACACATCTTCACAGTGTACAAAAGATTATTCTACAACAGCTGTGTGGTTATTAGTTTCTCTACCAAACTGAGCAGAACTTTCGCCACGGTCCCTAGCTAGCTGTGTCAGTCGGTCAGTCCCTCCTGTCTCTCCGTCTCTGTCTTTGTCTCCTCCTCTCCTGTTTGATACAAGCAAGGCTCACTGTGTGACCCACATTAGCTTTGAACTCTTTTTTATTTTTTTTTTAAAAAGAATTTGTGTATTTTTATTTTCTGTTTATTAGTATTTGCCTGAATGGTTCTATATGCCTGCCTGGTGCCCATGGAGGCCAGAAGAGGGTGTTGGATCCCCTGGTGGAGTTTTAGATAACTGTGAGTCATGGGGAACTGAACCCGGGTCCTCTGAAAGACCAGCCCACTGAGTTACCTCTCCAGCTCTTGACCTTGGACTCTTAATTTTCCTATTCCTGCCTCCAGAGCAGAGATTCCCGGTGTGTGCCAGTGCCACGTGGGCTACTGGCTGGGTTTTGTTCGTTTGTGAACTCTCTCCTCTGGTCCTTTTCAAGGCCTTTGGCCATCGTCCAGAGACTCACATTTTCTGCTTTGGAGGCTCCTGTTGTTCTTCCCTTTCTGAAACCTGGGAATTGCTGCCTTTTGCCCCACCCTCACCCCACCCCTCCCCCACCCCCACAGCTGGCCCTGGGAATCGCTGTGGTTGGCCCCACCGCCAGCGCTCCTCCTCCCCCACCCCCACCCCCACCGCTGGCCCTGGGAATTGCGGTCATTGGCCCCAGGGCTGGCGCTCCCCCTCTCCCACACCCACCCCTCCCCAAGGCTGACCTTTGCCTTTTCTACCGTCCTGCCATCACTTCCAGCGTTTCTTCCTTGTCCTGAAGTAGGCCAGGGTAAGAAATGGATGCTGGGGGATAGCTCAGATGGCAGGCAGTGTGTTTGCCTCTCCCACAAAGTCCTTGGTTCAGTCTCTGCTTTCATAGAACCATGATGGAGGAAAGTCATTGGCTAATAAAGAAACTTGGCCCAACTGATAGGGCAGAATTTAGATAGGCAGAGTAAACAGAACAGAATGCTGGGAGGAAGAGGAAGTGAGCTCAGAAATCATGCAGCTCCTCTCAGAGCCAGACGCGATGAAGCAAGCCAAGTCAGACATGCTGAATCTTTCCCAGTAAGACTGGTGCTACACAGATTACTAAAAATGGGTTAGGCAAAATATGAGAATTAGCCCGTAAGAGGCTAGAGCTAGTGGGCCAAGCAGTGTTTAAATGAATACAGTTTGTGTGTTGTTATTTCTGGAGTAAAGCTAGCCGTGCAGGAGCTGGGTGGAACGAAAAGCAGGCCCACAGCTCCCACAACAGAACCAGGCATGGTGGTGTACTGGGAAGGTACACCGCAATGAGAGCATTTTATTTTCGTTCCAGTGGTCCTGGGGATCGAACTCAGGGCAGGGGATATGCATGGCCGGCGCTCTAGCATGTGAACTCAGGGCAGGGGCTATGCATGGCCGTCGCTCTAGCATGCACCTCACCTGCAGCCAAACTGCTGTGAACTTGCTGCTGTGAACTTGGCAGGGGCAAGAAATGATTCCGTCTCACTAGCTGCAGCTGGGAGCATCCGAGTATGAGGTAAAGGCACCCGCAATACTGGCACCAGGACCACCTGGCTTGAAGCCCCGACTTTCCAGGTGTATCTTGGGGTCATCTGGGACTTGCTGTTGCCTTTTTGCATATGCACACTAGCATCTGAAATTTAGTTTTCCATGGTACCCCTCCGGCATGCCCTTTCCTGTTCTTTCCTGCGTAGGAACATTCTCTGAAACCTCAGATGTGAACTCTCATTTCTCTTCTGGTAGAACTTGCACACTCTAGTTTATCTGCTCGGCTTCCCAAGGACCTCAGTCCAGCCTTGAACCTCCTGAGATAAAGGTGTGAGCCACAGTGCCTACATCCATCCCATAACTGCTTCATTGTCTGCTTCTAACATCGAATTGTAAAGTCTGAGATAATGGAAACACATTTTCCCCCCAAATTTGCGGCTGGAGACTTAATTCTCCCCACAGAATCAGGCATCGTTCGGTAGCTGAATGAATGTCGCTGTCATCTCCAGACTTTCCACCAATAAACTTCTCCCAGTATAATCAGGCAAATCTAAGGTTGCACACGCTGTGGACACTGGGCTCAGGCATCCGCAGCATCTCCTTCGGGCCTTCACCTCTCTGAGCAGTTAGACTATTTTTCTGGGGTCGTAATCAGTGGACTCCATTCTACCCCCTTAGCCCTCTCTTCCCAGACATCCCAGCGCCTTCCTCTCTTTCGGTCAGTAGGCCCTACTTCCATAGCCCCATGGCTTTCTGCCTTCAGTATTTTGGAAGCCCTTCCTTGGGTCTCTCCTTTTGTCCTGCGTCTGTGAAGTCCACAGAACGTTCTATGCTGACCTCTGCCTCCTTTGGGCAGCTACGTACCCTCCATCTAATGCTCCAGTTCTTCCCCTTTTAGGGGTTTTACAGCCCACTGGGGCTACAGTCTTTCTACAGACGGGAGGGGAATAGCTGGGCACTTCCATGTTGAAGGCCTGTCCCCCTAAAGTGGTTCTAGGAGGTGGGGCCCTGTGGGAAGTCTGTGGATGATGGGATGTACTCTCTTGAAGTGGGGGATGGCCCCCACTCCGCCTTTGGTTTCCCCGCTACAGCTTGCAGTCTCGCCACGTTGTCCCCTCACAGGTCTCAGAGCAACAAGGACAGCCAACAGTGGATTGACACCCCCAAACCTGTGCACCCCAATCAGCTTGTTCTCTATGCATTGATTTACCTCAGCTCTCTGTTAGGTCGACAGAAAGCGAGCTATCGAGAACTTTCAGGTCTGTGTCCTGCACAGTGGGCTCCTGGATGGCATCCATGCCAGCTCATGCCTACCTTTCTCTCACTCAAAAACTTTTCCTCATTTCATCTAGTTATTTATTGTGTGTGTGTCCACATGCATTGTGTGTGGAGGTCAGAGGACAACCCTGGGACTCAGTTCTCTCCTTCCACTTTGTGCATTCCAGAGATGAAATTCAGCTTGTCAGGTTCAGTGACCAGAGCCACAACTGGGCCATCCTCTCAGCACTCTGCCTGCTCTGGAAGAGTCTTCTTTTATTTGTTTTTCGACACAGGGTTTCTCTGTGTAGCTTTGCAGCCTGTCCTTGAACTCACTTCGTGGACCAGGCTGGCCTTGAACTCAAAGAGAACCACCAGCCTCTGACTCCCAAGTGCTGGGATTAAAGGCACTACCACCTTGACCTTGAAGTCTTTTTGGACAATAATGCTGCATGTGTATTACTCTCATTGGTTGGTAAGGAGTGGGCGTGTCATAGCTAGGCAGGGTTTTCGAGGCTGAGAGAATGCTGGAAGAGAGTCACAGTCAGACGTGGGAGAAGCAACATGGAAGTTCATAGACGAGGTAAACGAATGTAGCAGCGTGTAGGTCAACAGAATGGGTCACTTTAAGTTGAAAGAGCTGGCTGGAGACAAGCCTAAGCTATCTGCTGAGCGTTTAGAATTAAGAGTAAGTCTCTGTGCGTTTATTTTGGAGCCGGCGGTCCCGACAAAAACTCCGCCTACACCTGTCCGTCTTTCTAATCTGCCATGTTTTCACGCTTCCTCCCCCTCTTTCTCACACATCTTCAAGTTATGGTCTGATTAAATATTTTCTCAGGGAAAGAACAGGGGAATGGGACAAAGTAGAGCAGAGATAATGACAATGTGTGGAAATGCCGTAATGAAACCCATTAGTTTATAGTTTTTATAACCTAAAAAGGCAAGTTTTTAATTAAAATAAAATACATAAAAATGATTCCTCTAACAACCTTATTTTAAAAAAATCAGTATCTCCTGAGCAAGCCTTTCCTTTCCCCTTGTTCCTCGTGACAGTGCGTGTGTGAAAGTGTATTCCTAGTTCCGTGCCTTCTCTAGATCTAACCAGCATCCCACGACAGTCTCCAGCATCCCAGAGGCCTGGTAAACATGGTGGATTACACACAATAGGAAGTTAGTCATGTAAAAGCGCAGCTCACTTGTCATGTCCCACATCCCCGGTGACAACTTTAGGGTCCCACCCAGTTTTTCCCCCGTGCTTGGAGGGAAGCATGAGGATTAGAAAAGAATTAGACAAGAGACAACTGATAGAGTCCGGAGGTCATCAGTGAATGCTGAGATCCGCCTCATGTTTATTTCTCATAAGCTTTATCTACCCCAATCCAAAGAGGAGGGGGAAAGCATGAGACTTCTTTACCGTGATACAAGATTAAACAAAGTAATCACCTTCTTAGTACCCAAAACACCAAGTAACCTTGGTCAAAACACCCTGTTAAGCAGCCACCCCTTTGTAAACAGGGATTGCATTTTTGTTTTCCGGCCACCCAGACCCAAATAATCACACAAAACCTATATTAATTAAAACACTGTTTCGCCAATGGCTCAGGCATATTTCTAGCTAGTTCTTACATGTTTTTTTTTGTTTTGTTTTTGTTTTTNCCTTGTCATATGATTGGGCATCTCTTGGGTATATTCCCAAGAGTGGTATTACTGGATCTTGGGATAGGTTGATCCCGAATTTCCTGAGAAACCGCCACACTGCTTTCCAAAGTGGTTGCACAAGTTTGCATTCCCACCAGCAATGGATGAGGGTACCCCTTCCTCCACAACCTCTCCAGCAAAGGCTATCATTGGTCTTTTTGATTTTAGCCATTCTGACAGGTGTAAGATGATATCTCAAAGTTGTTTTGATTTGCATTGAGACAGGGTTTCTCCGTAGCTTTTTTTTTTTTTTGGTTCCTGTCCTGGAATTAGCTCTTCTAGATCAGGCTGGCCTCGAACTCACAGAGATCCACCTGCCTCTGCCTCCCGAGTGCTGGGATTAAAGGCGTGTGCCACCACCTCCCGGCCCTAAGTCTGTCTTTATTTGTTTCTCAAACAGCATATCTAAATTTTGTGATCATAAGAACAAGCCAGGAGAGTACATATTTCATGCGGAAAACGATGACGCTCAGTTCACCAAAATGTTCACGCTGAATATAAGAAGTAAGTGAACCCCCTCTTTGTCTCATTTTATTCCCTATTAATTTTTAACCAGGAAGAGTAAAACACAGAAGGGATGCTATATATATATATTGCATGGATGTTGCTGCACCACATGCATGCAGTACCCACAAAGGCCAGAAGAGGGAGCCTGATCTCCCCTCAAACTAGAGTTACAAATGGTTGTGAGCCACCATGTGGGTGCTGGAAACTGAACCTGGGTCCTCTGGAAGAACAGCAAGTGCTCTTAAGCCCTGAGCCCTCTTTCCAGCCCCTGAAACTGCTTTTGTAAGCTACATGCTTCTTTTATGTTGACTTGAGACACGTATGCCCCTTTCTGTATCTACTCTCAGAGCTAAGACATGCTCAGTCTCCCATGTGCCCGTGCTCTTGTTCTGTGACTTTATTGGCTTGGCACTTTGAAAGGAACACACAGGGAAGGCTGTGGAGTCACCAGCTGGTTTTGGTTTTAATGACTTTCGTTTTGGTCTATGCAAAAGTAAGAAAGGACAATATATTTCATGAGATTGTTTGTGCAGATATTTTGAAGCTAAGTGTTGTGTTGTTAGTGCACAGATAGATGGAGCTTCTGTCCCTTAGCTCCCCCTAGGAAGTGAGCCACAGGGAGGTGATGCCTCCACCAGTCAAGAAGATTATACGACAGCTGAGGGAGGGACCAACCAAAGATTGAGACATCATGAATGAGGGGCTTCTCCAGGGGTACAGAGGCTGGAGTAAATAGGCAGCCTAAACCTAAGCCAGCACTGAGCTGTTTCTGGAAAGACCCATCTTCCATGAGCTTATTACCTGTTACTTTCCGCAGAGAAACCTCAAGTGTTAGCAAGCATCTCAGCCAGCCAGGTGTCCTGTTCCTCTGATGGATACCCATTACCTTCGTGGACGTGGAAGAAGTGTTCGGACCAGTCTCCCAAGTAATGAGAAGCTTGAC